GTGTCGCTTCCCGGCAGGCCCGCGGGCGACGACGGCTCCCAGCCCAGCAAGGAGCGCCGCGGCCGCGGGCCCCGCGTGCTCGGCGCCCGGAGCTGCGCCGCCCGGCTGCACGGCCGGCCGCTGGCGTGCCGGCGCGGCGGCGCCGAAAGCCAAGCAGTGGTCGAATCGGAGGCGGATAGATTACCAGCCTCGAACGCACCCCTAGCCCTCAGATTGACGCGCTAAAAGGCGATGACAATCATAGGGATTCGCCCTGAGAAACTAAGGGAAGCCCTAAGATTGCCATCGTGATGAGGAGATGCCCAGCATAAGGATAGGGATGTGTTCCAGGCTGGTCAGTATACCTCCTACCCTGACACGTTGATTAAGGACTTGGCCGGCTTCGGTTCGCGAGAGGGCGTCGCGGCCGTCATCTTTGCGGGTCCGGGTCCGTCGGTTGCGGCCCCAGGCCGTTTTCATTGAGGGGATGTTTGCCAAAGGGGGGTTTGTCCACCGCCGATTGAAGAGAAAGAAAGGCCACGCTGTTGGCGCTACGCGCGGATTTCTTGGCTTCGCGCTGGGCCTCCGCGGCAGGGCCTCGGGGTCCGCCCAGGGTGCGCTCCGCTCGCCAGGGAGGGGGGTCCAGCACAGATCCAAGAAATCCGCGCGGAGCGCCAAAAGTTTATGCTGATGGTTTTTGTTTTTCCCAACCATCATGTGGTGTTGGGTCCTCGTTTTGAAGAGACGGTCCCCGCGTTCCTCCTCCCTCCTTCCTCCCTCCCCCTCTTCCCGCTCCTCCCTCCTCCCAGCGTTTCACCCACCCAGTACAGCGCTTCGTGGCTCCATAGGGAGCTCCACCGAAGCCCCCAGTGGGACCGCCCGCATGCGTCCCCCACACCCAATTTGGCATTTTCACCCACCCACTACAGCGCTTCGTGGCGCCATAGGGAGCTCCACGGTCACCCCCAGCGGGACCGCCCGCATGCGCCGCGGAAACCTAATTTGGCCCAGTCAGTACAGCGTTTCGAGTCCCCAGATGGAGCTCCACCGAAGCCCCCAGTGGGACCGCCCGCATGCGCTCCAGAAGCCGAATTTAACATTTTCGCCCACCCGTGCAACGCTTCGTGGCCCCATCGGGAGCTCCACCGAGAAGCCCCCAGTGGGACCGCCCGCATGCGTCCCAGAAGCCCAATTTGGCATTTTCACCCACCCAGTACAGCGCTTCGTGGCCCCAAGAGAGTTCCACCGAACCCCCCACTGGGACCGTCCGCGGGCGTCCCGGAAGCCCAACTTGGCATTTTCACCCACCCAGTTCCGCGGTTCGTGGCCCAATAAGTAGCTCCACCGAAGCCCCCAGTGGGACCGCTTGCAGGCGTCCTGGAAGCTCGTATCGTGGCCCCATAGGGAGCCCCTCCGAAGCCCCCAGTAGGACCGTCCGCATGCGTCCCCCGCGCACCCAATTGGGCATTTTCATCCACCCACTACAGCGGTTCGTGGCGCCATCGGGAACTCCACCGCAGCCCACAGTGGACCGCCCGCCTGTGTCCCACACGCCTACTTTGGCATTTTCTTTTCATCCGCCTAGTGCAACGCTTCTTGGCCCAATCGGGAGCTCCACCGAAGCCCCCAGTGGGTCCGTCCGCATGCGCCCCACACACCCACTTTGGCATTTTCACCCACCCAGTACAACGCTTCGTGGCCCCATCGGGAGCTCCACCGAAGCCCCCAATTGGACCGCCCGCATGCATCCTACACACCCAATTTGCAATTTTCAGCCACCTAGTACAGCGTGTCGTGGCACCGTAGGGAATTCCACCGAAGGCCCCAGTGGGACCGCCAGCATGCGTCCCACACACCCAATTTGACATTTTCACATAGCGAACACAGCGTTTCGTGACCCCATATGGAGCTCCACCGAAGCCCCCAGTGGGACCGCCCGCATGCGTCCCCACACCCATATCGACACACGCTTCACACGTTTCGTGGCCCCTTAGGGAGCTCCACCGAAAACCCCAGTGCCGTCGCCCGCATGCGTCCGCCACCAATTTCGGCACATGCTTCACACGTTTTGTGGCCTCATAGGGAACTCCACCGAACGCACCAGTGCCACCGCCCGCATGCGTCCCCCACACAAATATCGGTACACTCCTCACACGTTTCGTGGCCCCATAGGGAGCTCCACCGAAAGCCCCCGTGCTACCGCCCGCATGCGTCCCCCCCGCCCAGTACAGCGCTTCGTGGCCCCATAGGGAGATCCACCGAAGGTTCCAGGTCTACCGCCCGCATGCGTCCCCCCCACCCAGTACAGCGCTTCGTGGCCCCATAGGGAGCTTCACCGACGGCCCCAGTGCTGCAGCCCGCATGCGTCCCCCCCACCCGTCACACGCTTCGTGGCCCCATAGGGAGCTCCACCGACGGTCCCAGTGCTACCGCCCGCATGCTCTCCCCCCACCCAGCGCTTCGCGGCTCCATTTCCCAGCCCTGCTGCCCGCATGCGTCCCCTCCACCCAGTGCAGCGCTTCCTGGCCCCATAAGGGAACTCCACCGACGGCCCGAGTGCTACCGCCCGCATGCGTCCCCCCCAACCCAATACAGCGCTTCGTGGCCCCATCGGGAGCTCCACCGACGGCCCCAGTGCCACCGCCCGCATGCGCCCCCGCCAACCAGTACAGCGTTTCGGGGCCCCGTAGGGAGACCCACCGAAGGTCCCAGTGCTACCGCCCGCAGGCGCCACCCTCACCCAGTACAGCGTTTCGTGGCCCCGTAGGGAGCCCCACCGACGGTCCCAGTGCTACCACCCGCATGCGTCCCCCAAACAGTACAGCGCTTCGTGCCCCCATGGGGGGGTCCACCGAAGGCCCCTGTGCTACCGCCCGCATGCGCCCCCTCCCACCCAGTACAGCGTCTCGTGGCCCATAGGGAGCTCCACCGACGGCCCCAGTGCTACCGCCCGCATGCGTCCCCCACGCCCATATCGACACACCCTTCACACGCTTCGTGGCCCCATAGGGAGCTCCACCGAAAGCCCCAGTGCTACCGCCCGCATGCGCCCCCCCCCCACCCAGAGTACCGGTCCGTGGCCCCATAGAGGGCTTCACCGAAGAAAATGTTCACGATTGCGGTACCCACAACTGCATATGGTTTGGTCCTTCGCCAGGCTCATTTTCTGAGGCAGCGGCGGATCGTTTTCATTTCGGGAGCGCTGTTTTTGATTCCGAGTTTCGGCATTTGGCCGAAGGGTGGGGGAGAGGGGGATCTGGGTCTGGGCCGGTGCTTCGTCGATCTGCTCTGACCAGGCGCGCGAGCAGACTGCTGGGGAGGGGCCCTGACCAGTCGCCAAACATACACGAAGCCGCACCTAGACCGCGCATTGGCACGGAAACATCGCGAGCTCGCACAAGCAAGCAAAAGAACAATGACAAGCGAATACGCCATGCAGGGCGAAGGTTATGTCATCACGAGCAGTCATTGTGCTTGGTGGTCCCCTGCTCGGCTACCTGCAAGCGATAAGCGCCAAGGGGGAAGGGAGGAGGAGGGGGAGGAGGGAAGAAGCGGAGAGCAGGCAGTCAGCTAGAGAGCGCAGTGCTTCCTGATTGCCGCGTGCCAGCCTGAGTGACTATGTAGCAGGGCGTGCAGCATGGCAGGGCCGTGGCCCGCCAGTGCTAGGGCCTCAGCGTGCAGGTACGTTGTCCACTCTATCTTGGGGCGCCCTCTCGATCACCGGGACTTCAGTTCCCAGGTAAGAAAGAATGTGCCATGCCAGCTTCGAGCACCATTAGTCTCGGTAAACTGTCGGTGCCGTCCCGGGCCATTTTTGCCACCTGTATGTACCGATGGTTTCAATTAACTATTTGTTCGATAGAGTCGGTGTCGAAAGTGGGGCGTACGCACGTTCATGTACATCAGCGTTGCTAAAGTAAGAGTACTAGGAAGGGATCATCTTGTAAATTCGTCGTAGGCATCTGGCATTGTAGCCATCCATCCGATCCTTGTCTGCTTTGAGCAGCATGTAAGGACTCGAGCCCATCTAACAAATTTGAGAAGACAGAAGATTCTAATCGTTGTGAATGTTTGGTTTCTGGTCAGGTTGGCGTGCTTCCAGACAGTACACAGCTCGTGGAATATGCCTTTCGCTTTCCCCGAACGCGGTGAAAGCTCTGCCCGCGGCCTCCCGTCTGGACTTATCAGACTACCCAGATTAACAGCATGCTCCTTGACCGCGATTGCTTTGTCATCCGGCCCAAAAAGTGTTTCCACCACATCTTATCCCGAGTAGTCTTATTTTGTCGGTGTTGAGCTCCAAGCCATCGTTTTCCAAATTGCGACCACCAGGTTTAGATGTGCTTGAAGAGTACGTGGGTCGGTCCATGGCCACGAGCATCGTGCCGCTTGCGTAAAAGATGATCCTCTGTATCCGTATATTGTTTGGATGGTCTACCAGGTGTTTCTAAATTCAAGCGTCTATCTACAGTGTCTAATATAGCCGACACAGCGATAATGAATAAGTAAGGGGACAGCGGACAATCTTGCGCAGTCCCAGTCGATAGTGCCCCTGACGGAGACGGCGTGCCCCTATCTTGCACACAAACACTTACGCACTATGTTGATGGCCTGGACCATTTCGACCACCGCAGCTGGCACCCCAAACTGCTGTAGTGCTCATGCAAGACCTATTGGGCTGATGTTCAATCAGCCTACGTGCCAGGAGCAATCCCTCGCTAGTCTCTCGATTTGGTTTGAAGCCGCACTGAGATTTCCGCGATGCCTTGTTAGCACCTCCGCGTGTGTGTCGTTATCGCAAAATGTTGGCCAATCTTTCTTAGCCTACTGCTAATAATAGGTACATTGGCTTGCAATTCGAAGGCAAGGAGGCGCCGCCTTTCCTAAACTTTGTGACAACGGATCCTTCTCTCCACACGTCGGGAATGTCGTAAGTCGTTTTTTTTCTCAGCAAGTGCTTCATAAGAACGTCGATATTTCTACAGCATCGCTGCGTCCCAATATAGGTTTTCATAACTCAGGTGGCACCCCGTCGGTTCCTGCAGCTCGCTGTGTTCGAAGATGTTTGACTG